ATTAGGGGGGGGGGGGGGGCTTTCTCAACTTTGACTGCAAAAGTGGAAATACACTTTAATCCTTACCGCGGTAAACCGGAGATGGCAGGAAATGCCCAATAATGCAAATAGTTAGGAAGCTCCTCAAGCTTCAGCCCAACCGCCATTACTCACAAGTGAGTCTTCAGAAACAGGGTCACATCTGGGGCTGTGCCACGGCTCTTGACCTGGAAAGCCGCATTTACCAAAGTACACTAAGGTCTGCAAAGCACCCACAACGCAGAGCCCAGTACCTGAAGGTCACATTACAGGCTATCCAAAAGCTAGTGCTGTGGATACAATTATCTGCTGCAGTGCAAGCAGCGTGTAAAAGCAATGTTATTTGAAGTCACTAGAGTGAGAAGGCTAGAAATGTTAGACTTTAACAAAACTGAAGAAAAAATATCCAGCCTCCTTGGACACTAGCAGAAAACCAATACTAGGTAGATGAGTGGTTATACGGGAGCTGTTTGCAAATGTCCCAGCCTCCTATAGGCTTGAGTTTGTTATACCAAGCAAGCAATAAATGAGCATTTAAAAGGAACATTTTACTGAGAGAAACGCAGACTGCCACTGAGCATGTTGCCTTATTACATAGTCTGCAGCAAGCTACCTTTTAATTAATAACATATTTTACCTTTAGGTAATAAGTAGGGTTGTAGGAAAAGCTTGCCCGTGACAGATTAGTATCAGTATAAATAAAACCGCAAATCTGGGAGGGACAAAAAATAAAAAATAATAGGTAGAAAATATCATTTTTACTGACCTCAATTTCTCTAAGTTTGGCACGTTTTTCTTCACTCATTTCAGAATATTTAAATGATTTTGAATCAGACATATCATCTCTAATTGGATTGGAATAGTAATGTTGGTCCTCCGATTTAGAACTCTGTGTATCCTCTTCATCGTCACTCTCTTCCTCTTGGCTACAGGGAAAGAAACATATGTAAATATTGGTGCTGACAAGTTTTAGAAGGTGAAAGCTCCTGAGCTGGCATACCTAGTCTTCTTTCACCACGTTTTTAGTTTGTGACCTTGAACAATCATGTGCACCATTGAATGTGTGTCCTGGCTTAGTGACTCACCAAGTACAAAAGCAATGATGAGGATGACAGCTCTAGATTGGACATTTCAAAAAAAATAGCAAATGGTAGTTCCCATATTTCTACACACATCTAAAATTCTACTTATGTTGTGGTGTTGAAAACTATAAAAACAAACAGTGCGACTTAAGTTGGATTAATCTACATGAACCATTTACAATATACTTCAGATATTTAGAATTTAACCTAACTTGGTGATCGCAGGCTACCTGCTGGGAGGCAGTCATTTTCAAGCTGGCATCTTGCGCAGTATGTGGTTCTTATAGCCAAATCCCTACACCTGCAGACCTATGTATATAGGTGTACAAGCACTGTCCCCTTACTAAGCCCCACAGGAGCTTCACTACACATGCTGCAGCATAACGGGAAAGTTTCACAGGGTCAATCCATGCGGAGGTTCTGCCACTGTAATTCACCATCACAACAATCTTCCCATGCAGCCACCCAAGAGTTAAGTTTTTCTTTCAGTGGTGAAGTTATGATATATTAACATACTGAATTTATTTAAAGGCTGCACATACAGATTTGTGAACCATTTTCTGCACAAAAGATTGAGAACCACATACTGAATGCAATGGTGCCAGTAAAAATAAACAGACACCTCCAGCTACTAGAATCACGTGTATAGCATATAATTGTGCTGCTATCTGAAGTTAATTAGCAGATCAGAAAAAAAACCTCTTCATAAACATATGCCAGCTAAACAGACGGCCTTTTCTGGCAGTTTCTTTACATATATTTTTCAGCAGGATTTTAGTTACACAAAACAAAACATTTCCACATGCGCTTATCTCTAAATATATGTAATGTATGCAATCTAAGAAACTACAATAAGTCCTTTAAACTGCCCTTACTTTTGATTGTCTTCCTCATCAGACTCTTCGTGCTGGTCAAACAATTCCCACTTGGATGTGGTGACAGCTAAAAAAAGAAAAATGGTATTTGCCAACAACCTACAAAATCTGCATTCCCCCACATGTTTTAGTTTTTTTATTACCCCCATACTTTAAATACATACAAAAGGGAATGCATGCTCATAAGCAGGACTTGAAAAATATGCTCGTCTTATCATCTGTGACGAGAGGACGCCGGAGCCCGACAAGTAGCTTCCCGTCCGGCTGTTTATTAAACATACATTCAAGCGATCGGGCATCTCTAAAGACTCCTGATCGCTTGTATTAGCAGCAGCAGTCAATGCTGTTGCCGGTCCCGAGATCCACTGTGCCCGGCTGCTCTGTGACAGGAGATCAAAGGGAGATCTGTACAGATCTCCCTCTGTTCTCCTCTCCGTATGCAGGAAGTAATGTATATTACATCACTTCCGCATTCTGCCGTCACTCTCCAGCTTCAGAAGCTGGTGAAACAGATCTCTGCTTCATCAGCTTCTCTGGGGGTCCCCCAGATGACATTAGGAGTCTTGGAGACCCCTGGTGTCTCTATAAAGCGGACCTGTCACTTTATAGAGACATGTGATAGCAATAAAGATAAGATTTAAAAAAATAACAAATATGAAATAAGCATAATTAAAATTAAAAAAAAACCCACTAAAGAACATTTAAGTCCCACGCCCCCCCACATACACACGCAAACATGCGTCGGGTGCGCCCACGTGCGAAAGCGACGATTGGACCTATTATCACTGCAAACGTCGGAGTGTGAGCAATCATTTTAGGGTCATTAATCACTGATAACACTAAACTGATGAGTGGTAAAAGATTTTAAATAGTCGGTGTGGTTGTTTTTTTGCGATTTTGCGGGCGCGCACAATTTTAAGGCTTGACATATTTGGTGTCCATTTACCCGACGTGACCCCGTCTTTTATATTTTACCAAAAATATGGGTAAGAATAAAGGTTTAACATAATGTAGGGAAAACATTTTTTTTTTCCTTCAAAATTTACGGTACTTTTTTTATTATATAGTAAAAAATAAACCCCATACCCAGTGGTGATTATATACCATCAAAAGAAAGCTCTATCTGTCCCTAAAAAATGTTAACATACATTGCAAGGCTATAGTCCGGTCATGCTGACTTGTGACATTTTTGACTGACTGTTGAGACACTCTAAACTTTTTCAAGCCCTGCTCATAAGTACTACATGGCAGTGTAGAAGATATTTCCTAAGTGGTAATTACCTTGTGATTCCAGCGCTGATTCATCTACAGCTTCCCATTTAGAGGGAGCTACCTTAAAAATTGGCTCATTCTTTTTAGAGTCATCAGAAATGTCCACTTTTAAATATACAAAAAAAAAAGAATCATGTCAGCACACAGACTGGGTGTATGATTTTGAAATAGTATATTAAAATCTTTGTCTTACATGGAACACCATCCAAGTCATCATCAAGGGTTTTTATAGGCACACCATCCAAGTCGTCAAGTGGTGCTCCATCAAGAGGAATTCCATCCACATCCTCCAGTGGAGCCCCATCTAACTCTTCTTCAATTGGAGCACCATCCAAATCATCTATTACCTCCTTTGAGCACAACACAAACAGTTTGCTATTCACCTGCAAAGACTTGTGTAAAAATGTGGTATTTGCCTTATATTTTACTACGGTCTAGAAAACAATTTAACACATTAAAAAACAAGCTACATTGTTTAGGTTAATAAAAGAATTGCACATGCATTTCAGGTACGCATTATTCTGCACCAGGATTTGTTAGTTTCAAAAAGGTGTGGGCGACCCATTAATCACACAGCCTTCCACACAGAAGTCCATTTCGACGAACCGGATCGTCACGATCAGGGGTAATCTGATGTAAACGGGCACATGTCCATTTACATCCGATTCCCCATAGACCGACATGGGGTCCAGTCATTTCAGATTTTTCCTGCATCGCAAGATAGAGGAAAAAACTGGAGACACACATACAGTATGTCACAGCGATGATATCCGATCAGTCCGAGTGAAAGGAACCTTACTTTCTGCAAGCTGTTCTTATAAATATGCACTTACCTCAGGTTCCTTCTCCTCAATATTTACAAGACCAAGGAAAATATTTTGTAGCTTGATTAAAAAGGGTTCAGGATAAATAGTCCAGTCTTCCCATGCCCGGAAGCAGGCCATAACACGTTGCTGTAAAGAAAACAATATTGTATACTGCTTAATTCAAACTCCAACATTTACTGCTATGAGTCAGGGATCAGAATAGTACTAGCAATGTTCACATTAAAGTGGAACTACAACTGCCTATCCTTTACAGACAAGAAAGGCACCATCTTAGCCACTATTTGGATGGCAGTTGCCATTGTGCTGCACGCGACCAGCTAAGACACCAGCCATTTGAGAGCGGAAATCAGCACACTGGTAACCTTGATAGTTGCCATGGCTTGTTTTGGGAGACAATTAAAGACCTAATAGAATGTCAAATGCTAAAGTTTTTTCCTTCTATCTGAACTGGAAAATTAAGAAATAAAATGCTTCAAACATTAAGTTTTAAGAGAACCTGTCTCTTTAAAAAAAAAAAAAAAGTGTTCACTTCACATTCTTCATTCATTTGCAATGTGCCTTTTAGCTTGATGGAATCAGATCACCCCAGGTTTCAGTGTCCTAACACAGCCCTTCCCTACTGCCACATCACAGACCCTTCCGCTTCTTGGAATAGTCCAATTGAAGAATTTCACCTTCCATTTTTCAATCCCTGGAATGTGCACAGAGGACAGAGTCAGGATATAAAATTCCGCCCAGGCCAGAATCGGATCCACTTCTCTTAATTTCTTGCCTCCTGTTGCATCCCCAATGGCTGATGTAAGCCACGGCTATGGAATTGTCTGGCCGAACCCTGGTCAGGTGGCCATGTAACTGTGGGGTCCAGTGTTGACGGAACAATCAATGGGTTGGAGATCCACAATGCCAGGTCCAGGGACTGATTCCGTTTGTCCTATTGCAACCAGACTGTTTAGCTGCAACAGCCTGGAGTTAAATTGCGCATAGGGAACTACCAGCAAGGAGGCCATCATTAAGGCTCGCTCCATCATGCAAAAACCAACAGACAAGAGACTCTTGGACTGCAAGATCAGAGCATAGGAAGAGATAGTCTTTTTGTGGGTGAGGGACATTTTGGATAGGGCCGTGTCCAAGACAAGGTACAGGTACTCCAAGTCATTTTATGAAGCTTTGCAGGGTTTATACTGTCTGATGAGTGTTGGACAATAAGTCCAACTGAGAAGAAGGTGCTCTAAATACCCCACTCTGGTGATCCCCTGAGACCAAATCAGAGCCAAAACAGGGATAAATCACCTTGATAAATACCCGAGGCGCAGTGGACAGGCCACATGGTAGGGCAACCAACTGGTAGCGATGACTGTCCGTAGCAAAACACAATTAGCACTGATGGACAGGAAAAGTGGAGATGTGCAAATATGCATCTTTGTTGTCCACTGATGCGAGAAAGGCTCCCGTTATAAGGCAGGCGATGAAAGCGGGTAGATTCTATACAGAATTTTTCGACAGGAACTTATTGAGGATCTTGCAATGGAGAATAGGGTGGATTCACCCCAGTCATGCAATGGTGAATAGGGTGGATCCCCCCCAGTCATGCAATGGTGAATAGGGTGGACCCCCCCCCAGCCATCCAACATTAAGAGGGGTGGTGAATAGGGTGGATCTCCCCCAGTCATGCAATGGTGAATAGGGTGGATCCCCCACAGTCATGCAATGGTGAATAGGGTGGATCCCCCACAGTCATGCAATGGTGAATAGGGTGGATCCCCCACAGTCATGCAATGGTGAATAGGGTGGATCCCCCACAGTCATGCAATGGTGAATAGGGTGGATCCCCCCCTGTCATGCTGGCAATACGAGGCATTAACCAGGGAGGGCCTACAATTTTTTGGTTTACCAATGTCCAATCCTTCTGTAGGCAGTTGTATAACCCAAAAGAAAATAAATTTCCTGTTTCCCTAAATGGACTCCAAGAATAGGATTTTACAGCGAGTACAAAATGTACCATTAGCTGGTTCTGCAATTTGAATCTGTAACTGCCCATCCATGAAAGCTTAGTGTGGCAGTATAACCAAACAGTATATGACCTACTGTGCCCCTCAGTGGATGAGGGATCTTCTGTATTGGAGGACTTGCTTCATAAAAGAGAACCTGTCACCTTCAAACGCTATCACATTGGGACTTATTATCCCCTGTGTGATCGCAATAAACAAGTGAAGTCAACAAAAAAAGTTAAAAAAATGTTTTTTTTAAAAAAAAAGTGCCAAAGTAAAATGTAAAACCAACCCTGTCGCCCTAGCCATCTGCATGCAAATAAATGCATGTGTAGGGCACTGTGTGTGCGCGCGCTAAGTACTGCCTCCATTCCACTGTGTGCCATATTGTGGTAACCGGGCAACAGTGCTCTTTTAACACGCACAAGTAATTTGAGAAAATGGGGCCCCCTCTAATCCCACTTATACTTACCTTTTAGCAAACGGTGCTTCCCCTCCGCCAGTATGGGTGTACTATCTGTACCTCATACTGCTATCCAGCACAGCCCTGCACTGTGGACTTTGACCGTCACTAGCAAACTGCGAGAACACATTGGTCAGTGTGGTCAGGTGAATGCACTGACCAATGAGAAGTGATTCTTAGCATGGTTAAATACGGTTTGGGTTAAAATTATTTTTAGTAACACGACAAATACATTTTCATGAGGAACAAGAAGATTGGGCCCCCGCTTTAGTCCTTGGACAAGTAGTTTTGTCTTTTAATTTCCACACCCCTGAGGGCATTAGGATATGATTCATGTTGGTAAAGTAATATTTAAAAAATAATTCTGCATCTCCATAACATTACTGGTATTAAAGAAAAGAGTATCTTTCAAGAGTGAACACAGATAAAGCTCTCAACTGACCTTAAAATTTTCTGACTGCAAATGTCCTTGTATGGCTCTGTAAGCAGCATTCAGATCAGCAAAGATTTGGCATAATTTATTTTCAAAGCTAATGAGGTAAATAGAGACACATTAATCTTTTTCACATGTCCAGGACAGAAGCAGCACAACAATCAAAAATGGTGGAGGATACAGATTAAAATCTATGTTGACAGAATAATATTGTTTGAAACCAAAAACTTCCTTTACTACTGCAGAAAGGCGGGTACCAAGTCATCTCCATAAAGTTCATCTATTAAGGTAAAGAGCAATGCACAAAGTAAAGTAATGCATAGCAACCATTCAGAATTCATCTTAGAAAGATCTGATTTTGGGCCGGTTCACCCCACAAAGAATGCGTTCGGCCTCTGGAATGCAAACCGGCCGACTCCATGCGTGGCATTGAAGTTAATGGCACCACAGCCACGCCTTCTGCCGTGTGATGGCCACACCCGAACGCGTGGCACATTAGTGCCTGCGTTCCGGTCCAGTGCGATCTGCAAAAATGCTGCATGCACTATTTTTGCAGATCGCACTGGACCAGAATGCAGGCACTAATGTGGCACACGCTCTGGAATGCATTCTTTGTGGTGTGAACCAGCCCTTAAAGGTAACTGCACCTTTGTTACAATTGTCAGTAATTCCATCCCCTAACTCTTACATGAGGTCCACCAGTAAAGAAGGGTTTTCTCCTTCCTTGATCCAGTGATCTTTGCTGTGTGGCACTGCCCAGGGCTTTTCCATTAAAAATGTCCCCATACATACTTACGTGCAAGCTGTACTCTGTAGGTCCGCCAGCAGCCACCATGAGCACGGCTTAACCTTGGGAATGAATGGGGCAGAGGTAATCCATGTGCACGAAGATGAAGTCTCCAAAGACATTTTCACTGGCAAGGCTGTGGGATGCTGAGTGTGGTCACACAACAAAGATTGCCGATTGAGAAAGGCGAGTGTTTATAATGGTGGGCTGCACTCACATGGGTGGGGTAAACAGATTAAAGGACAACTGAACCAAAGGTGCAGTTGTCCTTCAAAGCCCATCTCCGGGCAAACAAAATAAGTAGCCTTGAAATGGGGCTACCACCGCAGTAGAGGGTGGGCAAGTGCTCGTTTTTGTCTAGGGGCTGGTGTCGGGTAGATTTATTTACCAGGTCCCTGCTCCCTTGGCGCTCTCCTCTTTGACTGGTGGAATGTCCTTTGGCATCCTCATTTCTAATGATGTCTATATAACATGTATTAGATGTTATGATGTCAGTGATTCTTAGACTGTCCGAGCCCAGGGAAGAGTCGCATTCGGGTTCAGTCTAGGAGCCCTAAGAGAATCGACTGGATCAGGGAATTAAATCTGCTTTACTTCAGTCCCCTGGACAAAAACTTAACCGTTCTAGTGCAGGGGTAGATTTTTAGTGTGCCCAGAGATGGAATTTAAGTAAATCTGGTTGCTATAAACTGCTAAACTGTGCAGTAGCACTCTCTGCACCACTCTACTGAAAAAACTGGCATGCTTCCAGAATAGTAAGTTATAGGAGCTATTCACTAATCTAGTTGGCATGAGAGCAATGTTGATATCACTCAGGGACTGAACATCCTGGAGTGGCCAAGTCATCAGTAGTTTTAAAAACACAAGAACAGCGTGAAGATCCCTTCTACTGTCTAGCAGCACCTTCAATGGCGCAACGCATCATGATGCAACTTGTAAGGCATCTTACCAATGCTTTCCTTATGACTAAACACACCAAACATTCTCTTGGCGCACAGCATGTGTGGAGCCGTGAACAGGGCCAACTGATCGGAAGCCGATTAATCGATTATTGAAAAAGTTGACAACTTTTTCAATAATCGATTATAATCGATTATGTCGATTAGTTGTTGCAGCCCTAATATGAATATACACATTAACATTTTTTAAACACTCTTTAAAGCAACAACATGTAACAAAGACTTACAATTTTCTGTAGTAGGATGCATTGGCAACTTTAGCAGAAGAGTTATACAAGACATCAGACACCAGGTAGAGTCTGGCAATCTATGAGAAGAATAGAAACAATTGTGGAATGAGTAATTAGGTAAATTATGCAGGAGTAGTCCCAGTACAACCGCAGACAGCGAACATGTCAATCAGTAAAACTGGAACCTCAACTGACAAAATAGATACATCAAAAGGCTGCACAATCAAAAGTATTAAATGTCTGCTAGCAAATGAATAATGTCACTACCCTGCTTAACAAAAACCAGAAGAAGATTTGAAAGCTGGGGTTAGGTTTTAAGGTGCAATCGGTAAATAAACATGCATAAGCAGAATCTCTAGAACGCATTAGACTCCAATAATTAACATGAACTTGGCAATACCTTCTTAGGGAGGGGAGTTTTCAGGATAGACAAAGACTCCGCTATGCAGTCTACAATCTCTTCTGCTGCTTCAGCATGGTTAAGACAGAACACCATGGCATCACCAATGTCATTCTTCCGTGGTGTTAATCCTCGTAACACCTCCTCTAATTTGTCTCTTTGTCTAAAAACAGAAATGAATGTCATAGTTCTAGATACAACCTAACACTGCTGGATAAAACAAAGAAGAAAGGTAAGAAGAAAACTTGTACCATCCAGAAATATGCATTTCTTTCCTTCCTAATGAGGGACACAGGAAGTCATGTATCTTCAGTTATACTGCCTCCTACAGGAAGAGTGGACACTGGCAAATACAAAATGTGTCCTAGACTTCCTCGCCCTGGTTTCTTGAATGCAGAGTCTAGACCCCACTTGACTGGGCATTGTGGAGAAAGCCTGGAAGTAACTGTTGGGCACTGCGATCAGAGTATGGCACTTTTCAGACTCCATTCTGGTAACAAGTTAGCTGTGGAGGGCTTTAAAGGTCCAGAGCCGCTTCCATTGCATCAGCGCTTGCACTGTCTTATGACTCACTCTGTGAGTAAGCTGGTCAGGCTACCTTTATTTACTTAGGTCGCTGGATGCCTGTAAAATCCCCAAATTCAAACGCTGAAGGGGTTAAGGGACCAAGTGCGCTCTTTGCCTCCAATCAGCGTGGCGCTGGTACCAACTCATAGTTTGGGTTATCTGGATTTAGTCCTGGATTCAGAGAAAGTCAGTGTTTTTCCCTAAAGCAGAACTTTGGACACACATTTTATTAATCTTTGCAGTGGGGCTACCCCCGCACCAGTGCTTGTTTTTATATATATAAAAAAAAAAAGTTGCACTCGCCTGATCTTTGGAGTCAGCTGCTCTTAGACTGGTCCCTTCCACCAGAGTGGGCTAAGGTCCCTGAGTCAATACAGTCTGCACACAGTGTATAGTATGTGCGGATGCCAAGGGACATACCAATCGCTGGTGCGGAGGAGAGAGAGCGCTGTGACAGCTGGCCGGCTTTGAAAATCTGGTAATGTCCTTTTCTGTCTTCTGAAATATTCTCACAACGGATACCAGCCTGTTGAGCTGGGGAGGAGTTCTTGGCACCCTGTTGATGCAGGAGACTTGGTCTCTGGAGGAAACTAGTCTCCCGATCAGCATTCTGGAGCTTTGGACATTTAGTTGTCCAAATTTTGCTGGAGGGTAATCCAATCCCAATTAAGTCGGACAACGCTGCAGCAGTGACATACATCAACCATCAGAGAGGCACCAAAAGTCTCGCGCAGCGAGAGAGATAGACTGAATCCTGTGTATGGCAGAACTTCACATTCCAGTCTCGTCTTCCATTTACAATGCAGACAGACAGACTGGACACAGGGGAGTGGGGCCTTACATCCAGGATCTGTGTCACAAGTGGCTTCCAAGAGTAATAATTGGACAGGTTTGTCATATGTAGGAATCCTCTAGCAGAATCAGCATATTTTACTTGGTGTGAGGGTTGGGACTTCAACCCTAGGAGTTTCTCTGTGAGACAAATCCTCTCCTTAAGAATCAGGTGGCACCCTTTCCTGCACAGCACACTCTAGTATGTCTGTAGTGCTTTTTAGTCATTTCAGCATTAGGGCTACTGTTTCCAAGATGTGCAAGGCTGCCGCCTGGTGTCCCGTTCACAAGTTCAATGGATGTTGAGTGACTGACTCAATGACTCATGATTGGTGACTGACTTTCTATGTAACTCAAAGGACAAAAATAAGAGGATTTTTGCACTAAATCGCAAATCTGTTCTTTGAGGGACAAAGATTGCTCCCTTCTATGTTATGGTGATGCTCTTAGTACTGCTTGCTACCAAATTGAGGCATGCTGGAAGTAGGAGGGGTTATCCTTGGCTGGCCTACTTTTTATTTTTTTCCATTTACCCTGTGTCTATTCCTCCTGTTGGCAACTGTATAACCCAAAGGTGAATGACTTCCTTTGTCCCTCAATGGACTCCAAGAAATGGATTTTCATGGAGAGTACAAAATTTACCGTTAGCTGCTACTACAATGTGAATCTGTAATTGCTCGTTCATGAAAGGTTAGATGTCTTTTTAAAGTAGCTTACAAGAAATTATCAGTGGTTAGTGCTGGTTCTTAATGTACCTCTTCTGAACTGGGCAGTCACGTATATTGTTCCTGCACTCCAAAGTAATACGGTTATACCAGCTTACCAGCTCTTCATTTGTTGCCATCCAGGCCAGTCAAGACTTCAGTGACTAATCCTGCTACAAAAGGATTTTTGTACTCACCGTAAAATCCTTTTTCTGGGGGATTCCATTAAAGGGACACAGCAAGTAATTCAACTACGGGTTATACAGCTGCACAAGCTTTCATGAATGAGTAATTACAAGTTGTAGCGCCAGCTAAGGCCCCATTCACACTGAGCGACATGAAAATCGTGCGATATTGAGCGACATCGCGCAACTTTTTCCTATTGGGCTGTATGCAATCAGGAGCAATATCGCTCGAAAAAAGGGTCATGTAGGAGCGACAAGCTACCAGCGACGAGCTACAAGCGATATTGAGCGACGAGATGTGAACCGCTCTATTGAAATGGATTGGAGAAGCTACATAGAGCGATAATCGCGTGGAAATAGGAGCGATATCGCTGCAAAAATCGCTCGATAAAATCGCTCAGTGTGAATGGGGCCTAATGGTAAAATCTAGTATTAAGACCTTTTTTGATTTATCAGACTTCACGATGTCAAGTAACTGAAGCAGCAACAGGACAAAGGCTATGAAGAACTATCCATATTATTAAACAAAGAATAGAAAATCAATTAAAGTGTAGTTCCACTTATGCAGCCAAATTGGGATAACAACTGTTTTATGTTTGCTATATGTTCCCATTCACATAATATAACCTAACAATTACTACTTACAATTTTAAGTGCTTTATATTTTTAAAAAAATCCTACCTAGCTGTCCTCATATGTAATGTTAAGGAGAGGTTAGTGCAAACGTTTGTGTACTCCAATAAACCCTGTCTGTACTATGCTGGCAGATTTCATTATCAGTTGTAAACTTGATTTGAACACGGTAAGTACTAAATAAGGGTTAAAGCCTTCGAGGCAATGCGTGTTCATGAGAGGAAGCTCAGTCTGACACTATATAGTAGTCTCACTCTCAAACTGCTCAGAGTAGCTTGCAATCTGCACAAAGACCTTCACCAAAGAAACAGCTCAAAGGCAAGACATTTTTTTTAGAAATAATGGGAACACAAACAAATGGAAGACTTTTCTCAAATTTGACTACATAAGTGGAACTACACATCTGAAGCAGCACATAAGCGACATACTCTTCTTTAAGAGATCCCTTTTTGATGGGCTCCTCAACAAAAGGCTCAGGTTCCTGTTCCTCTGTCATTCCATGCAGGTAAGGATTTAATGGTGGTGGTCTCCAGAAAGAACCATTTTTAAACATCCGGAAATCTTCTGTCCTCCATTTTGTGGGAGCATCTCCCTAAGTGACAAGACACAAATGATAAAGTTTACTTTGTATAAAAATAGAGAGTACTTAAAAAGGAGATCCATGAGGTGAGTGATTTCCACTCACATAGTTAGAGCCGACCAGTAAAGTGTAAACTAAAGTATTATTCACCTGTAGTATTGAGTAAAGCTTCCACCTGTAATACACGTGGGCAGGGGTCTGGTTTTCAAATAAAAATCTAGAAAAGAGAAGGAAAAAGAAAGTTCACTATTCACGAACGGCAGTGGAAAATAATGCACTATCAAGGTTACCGGAGATACACAAAAATCTGCAGAGCATCCAATGCCTCAAAGCTCCGGGAGCTCTGTAATGTAATCACCAGAAAAGTTTCACCAAAAACACTGTAGTCTAAATCTGACAGGCAGCTGCAGTGTTCTGATATCAGCTAGCTTCAGTTAAAAAACATTGGGGCTGCTACAAGGTAGGGTGGGCATACCAGTATTGTGCAATGAAAATGGAAAATGCTTGACCCCTTAGGCTGGCCATACACTGTTCTATTTTTTTTTCGTTCAGTCCACGGGCTGAGCAAAAAAAATAGAACAGATTTTTCCATCAATGCTTACGAGCGTTGAGGAATCCCCTGCCGTTTCCTTTGTATTCTGACAGCTGCCACCGGTCGCTGTCAGGATTCCCAAACAGAGCCGATTGGCTGCCAGCTCGGTTCATTCGGCACTTCCACAAAGGCACCCACTGTGCAAATTTCACATAGTAAGGCCAGCTTTAGACAAACTGAAAAATTTGTGGAAGTAGTGGCAAATTACACTTTCACATGAAGTACCTTTCAGAAACATCATGGGTAATAAAAGAATTACATTTCCCAGGAAGCTTTTAGCGCATCATGATTTTTACCTGAACATAGGGTTGTTGAGTTCTCGGTTCATGATCATAGCTTCAAACATTGGCCCTTCACGCACCACAAATTCGATCATGCGATGAATCAGAGCAAGTAAATTCCTACAACGACAGTAGAGTTAAAGGAAAATGTATTCAGACCCTACATACTAATTGCACTCTATCTACCATCTATAGTATAGAGGTTGCTGGTATATAACAGCACTACTTGATGATGCATTTGTAGCTGCCCAGCTGTTCAGTGTAAATAAAATGCATAGTATGCATTAATTACGAAAAACCCTCTGAAGCAATGAAATAAGATTTGGCTATCAGGTAAGAAAGCGTGGCTTATAAAAGTTAAGTGTTGTGTTCCTTTAAGCTACAAGGGCAGCAGCATGTAAAATTTCACACTACATTAAAATAACATACTGAATGGCTCAAACAAAGTCTGAAGTGATCAAGTGTACAAGAATGTTGAAATTCCAAATGAAAGATAGTGAAGAAAAAAGACACAAAGAAAACCCTTTTGTCAACATTTAAAGTGACACTAAACTCAGGGTTCAAATCTTAAAAATACATTCAAGCACCTTAACTATTAACACAAATGTTATTTGTGTATCACTCGACTGTAGATCCTCAAATCATCTCTGAATTGGTGCGGACACTGTCCTTCCTTCTGGAGGGTGGCTACTTTTTGTTCCCCATGGTCCCTTGTGTGTGTTGTAAAGTAGCCACCGCTCCAAGCTCACTCCTGTGATGGACTACAATCTCAAAACAAATTAGTAAACTAAACCTGAGATTGTAGTCCATCACAGGAGTGAGCTTGGAGCGGTGGCTACTTTACAACACACACAGGGACCATGGGGAAGAAAAGTAGCCTCCCTCCAGAAGGAAGGACAGTGTCAGCACCAATTCAGAGATGATTTGAGCATCGACAGCTGAGTGATAAATAAGATAAGAGTTTTGTTAAAAGTGAAGGTACTTGAATGCATTTTTAAGGCTTAACTCCTGAGTTTAGTGTCACTTTAAATATGGATAGGCTATTAGGGCAGCAAAGAATACTGTCCACATAGCATGACGGATACTTCTAAAACTGCCTTTTGGAAGTTTCATAAAAAAGTCATTCTAAATGATACAAGCTGTAAATATAACATGGGCTGCTTAATGACAAAAGGACACTGGCTTAAATCACAATAACTGTGCTTTAATATAGAAAAAATGGCCACATCCAGCAAACTTGAAAAGGTTTAAATTATAAAGTAAATAGAAGAGAATTTAACTGCGACTCCTACTTGACTCCAGGGTAGGCAACCTTGGCACTCTAGCTGTGGTGCAACTAGACGTCCTAAGAGGCAATCCAAGACTGACAGCTAGAATGCTGGGGTTACCTACCCCTGTGTTACATATATATATTAAACAAAACACTGTAACCAAAAATAGGACAGGTAATGCCCATTATGTTACATATAAAACTAAAGTTAAGAATAAAATAAAAAAAGAACAAAAAAAATAAAAATAAATCCCAACTGAGTGAAAAATATAAGACGTATGGTGTGTTGGTGCACAATTAAGTCTGGGTCATTTCCAGTGGAGCACCAATACAGTAAAAATAATATATTCTGCTATAAGCATATACTACGCTACAAATGTAACAGTATCTGAGATGGGATTACTGTAGTAAAGGGCAAGTACCTTTGTAAGGGCAAAAGATTTGGATTTTTAACTGTAGAACTTTAAATGATTATTTGAGGAACTACAGTTTGACCTATCATCATGTTACGTGCTTTAATTATAACACAACCACATTTATTGGAGTTGATCGTACCGATGTCTGGTCAAAATACTTTCCCAATCCATCCCTTGATGTTTTCCTGGTCCCCCGCTGCCGCAGACTGTTCAGCTGTGGTGTTGCTCACCAAGGCCAATGTCAAAGGTCAATGGGAATTTGAAATGTGATTCTTCTTGGACTGTGTTTTCTATCTTGAAAGTAAGACTGTGCTTTCCTGAGCAAGAGTTTACGGGACACAATCCCTAGCCATTGGACCACTTAAACATTACAGGGCCAATCCAAGCAAAAAAAAAAAGTTGCATTTCATTTTTTTTGGCTCTGCTCCCCACTCCAGCTAGGCAGCTCCTGCCAAAAACGTAACCCTACGCTTCCTTTTTCTTTATCATATAACAAAGAAAAACTAAAAGGGGACAGCAAGCCCCTGTAGTATACTTATTGGTGAGCAGACCTGGGAACTTCAGTTCCCTAAAAAAAAAAAAAAAAAAAAAGAAGAAGAAGATTGGTGTGTGGTTAAACCAGCATCAAAAACTAAAATATATCAGACCTGTTCACATTCCTTTCACTCAAATACAGCCGTAATGTGAAAATCTCTAGTGGAGTAAAAGGTAAAGGCTGCGATGATTCGTATTAAAGGAGAACTATGAGATGAGCAATTTCTTCTCGCCTCATAGTTCTAGCCGGCCTGTGACAATGAGACTGTCACAGGTCGGCTCAGTAGATCGGGAGGTGAGCGAACACATACCGTGTTCGCTCACCTCTCGATCCTGTCACGGCTCTCTGTCGTGACAGGGGGAGGGGCTGAATTCCCCTCTCCGATCTGCCAGCGCTGACTGGCAGAACGGACGGGGGAGGGGGCGGGTACAGCTGGCTCTGCCTCTAGATTGGCAGAGCCAGCTGTCACTCATGCAGCTGGGCGGATCTCGACATCGATGTCGGGATCCACTCCGGCGCCTCAGTATACCGCAAGCTGTAGCTCGCAGTATACTGAGCTTAGGGTACCCTAAGGAGAACTATGGGGAAAAATACTGACCCCATAGTTCTCCTTTAATTACCTTTTTATGCTACCCTTTAAAAGATTTGGGTATTAAAAGACATGACACCTGATCTGATTGGATCAGTCAACCATCCTGTTTCTGAAAGCCCAGCTGGTTGGTTTGCATCTGCATGCTTAATTGCCCTGAGAGGCCTGTGAGCAGTTTTAGAAAAGCTTTCAGACATGAGCTCTCCTAGTTTTTTTTCTTTTACTTTCCTCTTTAATATACAGCGAGGTATAATCCTGCAAACAGATTTGCGACAGGCCAGATGCTATCTGAAACGTGTACTGCGCACCGTAACAAAACAATTCTGGATAAACTGTTGCTCAGTAAAGCTCCAATCACCCCCTCAAGATCATCAACCAATCATTTGTAATTCTGAAGGGGATATTCTCTAAAATCACATGAGTAATAGTAAAGAAAAAAAATGTACCTTTCTGTTGGGATAACCACTTTGACTATGGCTTGCGACAGAGTCTGTATATGAAGTCACATCAGATAATAAACATAGAATATGTGAGTATTGTTAACAAGTAACAAGCAAAAGAAAATATACATATTCATTAAAACACTAGACATCTAGTACATGTTTCTGCAGGCACTTCTTGAAAAGCATTAACAACTAACAAGATACAATGAATGTGCCCACAGAGTGGGTGATAGCTGAAATGTCCTGATATATAAAGTACATTAAAACATCAATTCGGTACTACACTGGAAATTGTAAGGGCAATACAGCTAAGGGGCCGCTAACTGTAAACTTCTATTTCTGAACATAGCAAACAATGCTCTCAGCTGAACTAGGCTTTCAATAACATATCAGAGGCAATAAGTATTACAAGCAAATAAATACATACAGGGCTTTGTTAAAATGGAGGCGATTTGCAAAAATAGTTTTATATAAAACAAATAGCCAGGCTCTTGTTTAAAAGCAAATGTTTACATTTGTACAACAGAACCGCAGGGTCTACTTGGAAATTGAATAGTTTGCCAAAAAGGCACCAATTCCAATGTGTGCTTTAACCCCAGTGCCCAAGTCCCTTAATATAGTCCCCCCCCCAACACAATACAGCCTGATCAGTGCAAAGCAGAACCTGCCTGATGGGCCATGCTACGGAGAGATATTAAGTAGTCTGTAAAGCAGGATTGAGAGGTTTCTAGAATAATGAGATGTCCTACCAACTGTGACGAGCTGATAATGGATGTTGAATTTTAGTTGCTGCACAGCTATTGAAAACAATCAACGGCATACAAAATGACAACACAACAATATAAGTAAAGAAAACTCAACAAAAGACATATGGCCTTTCCCAACAATAAATTCAAATGACTGTAAAATTCACTATCCCACAGCAGTCAGATATTGAAGACACCTATATATATCTATATAGATATATATATATATAAATAAAACTGGTTGCTGTGGTTGACTACACTGTGCATCATGTCCATTACTGCTTACAGTATGGGGTCCTCCTTAGCATGTCACAACAGAGCAGGTCTGTTCGGGGATGACCTCTGCTCCCATGATGTATTAAGAGCATCTCTACATTGTTCTAGTTAACCTGAGCTGTCAATAAGGCAGATCTAGTGGGCAGAAAACATAGTTTTCAGGCTGCCATACCCTAGATTGTATGTTAAATACACTCCCATAGCAAGGACAAGAAGTAAAAGCCTTGAAGTGTGTGTCCACTTTTGTAGCCAAACTGTGAAACCACCTCTTATATATTTGTTACACGTTCCTATTCACATAGGATATGTGATGTAATATTTTTAGAATGTATTTAGCTTCCACCTTCTACGTAATGTTTACAGGGGAGCTGAGGGTACTGTTTGCTATAAGTAACCCTGTCTGTACTGTGCTGGCAGATCTCCATTATCAGTTGTAAACTAGATGTACAGAAGTGTGTTCTAACAAAGGGTTAAAGTTCTTCATGTCTGGTGGTACACTGAATGTCAATGCCCTTAAAAATAAAATTGTCTCTCTTATCTGAACATAGAAAGTTAGCAACCTATGTGTAGAGAACCATGTATAACCTGCTCCAAAAAACTAGGATTGTTTGAATCATTTTTAGATATGCCGTGTGAATGGTAACACAAACATAGTGGAGGTTTCGCAATTTTGACTGCAAAAATGGAAATACATTTTAAGACCCATTTACATATTTGTAATGCAGTCACACGTCACCCGTCCCTTTTCAGTAACAACGTACCACAACGCATTGCTATGTGTTGCGGCATTTTTGCAGGTGTGTAGCCTTAGTGCATTGCTATGTTTGTTTTGTGTTAAAGTGCGTATTACCACAAGGCAAAGAGGTAAATGAGCCTTTAAAGTAACCCTAAACTCAGAAGTGAAATCTTAAAATGCATTTGAGTATCTTAACTATTAACAAAAATGTATCTTATTTGTGTATCGCTCGGCTGCAGATCCTCAAATCATCTCTGAATTGGTGCTGACACTGTCCTTCCTTCTGGAGGGTGGCTACTTTTGTTCCCCATAGTCCCTGTGTGTGTTGTAAGGTAGCCACCTCTGTAAGAACTCTCCTGTGATGGACTACAATCTCATGTTTAGTTTACCAATTTGTATTGAGATTGTAGTCCATCATGGGAGTGAGCTTGGAACCATGGGGAACAAAAAGTGTCCCCCGTCCAGAAGGAGGGACGGTGTCAGCATGAATTCAGAGATGATTTGAGGATCTACAGCTGAGTGATACACAAATAAGATACATTTTTATTACTAGTTAGGATACTTAATTGCATGTTCAAGTTGTAACGCCTGAATTTAGGGCCACATTAAGGTTAATGCGCACAAGCACTTTGTGTTCTGCTTCCGGCACACATCTGTGAGATGTAGCATGCAGTATATAAATTGGACAACAAGGGAAGAAAACAAAACAAAAACACATTCATTTGTATTTATTGTTGCTTTTCTCATGTGCTGTGCTCAGATGTATATCTCTATACAAGTCAATTTGAAGCCTTTGGTTAACACATCTCTAACATGTCCCAAGTGCAAGCCATTGTTCTCTTAAAGTGTATGTATAGTCAAAGCTTTTAAGTGTTGTAGTGTAGGAAAGGGTTGAAAACCCCGTCAGTTTATTTATTTTTTGCTGCCTTGATTTCTCTTCACTTCCTGTCCTGAAGAGGCAACAGGAAGCAAGAGTAAAATTTCTATAAAGCGAGAGGAATTCTCCTCTTATACAGCTGTCACTGGAATAGGTGTCCACATAGAAAGATTTATCCTCACCTTTTGTTCTGGTGAGAACTGCAAAATGTTGGATTTCCCATTACTTTCTGTCTTGTTGACATTGGTCTTCAGGGCGAATATAGAGAGTGAATCTGCCTAGAAGGGACAGACAGCAATAAAACTTGACAGGGTTTCTAGCCTTACCTAATCTAGCCAAACAAAAAAGTTTAGCTATACATACATAGTAAAGCACCTGAAAGCATCCTGCCATTGACTCGCTTCTAAGCACGTGTTACTCTTGATTGCTTATATAAAGTTATTTCATGGGCTTCCCAGTCTAAAACAATATCCTGCTTTCTCACTAGAAATTTGGACTTTGATTGTACCAAAATAATAGGATAAATGTTGCATATTGTAAATTTAAAAGACAAATATATAATAGTAGTTTGTTTTTTTTCTGACGAAATGCTTTAACAAAGTGAGAACTCAAGTTTAACCAAGCCCTGTATATACAAGTTCCACACACAAACCATGAGCTTCCTAGAGTCACATACCTGCACCCAGCCGGCTAAGCAAGAACTAAATCACATGACTTGTCCAATGCAATAAATGTCACACATTTATTTTGATATAACTAATCCTGAAATAAACATCAAACTAACCTTTATGGGGTATGTGCTGCATGTAGCGATGTTTAGATATGCGCGTATAAATATATATATATATGGGGCAGAGAAAATCCTTTATATAGGTATGTAGAATATATGTATGTATCCAGCACCACTGGTTACGAGGAGAAAACATTGTTATGTTTCGTTAATTACCTTCTCAAACTCCTCCTTATTTTTGGGTGGTGGTAACAATGGCACACTGGGGTTCTTGAGGCGCTCTCTCGGCTGGGCGTTAAAAGGCAGACCAGATGGAGGAGGTGGTAGGGTGTGTTCCATCATAGATGGGGGGATATATATTGGGTGTGGAGGGATAGGCACAGCTTTTCCCCACCCTAGCTTCATTTCAAAGGACATAACCATTTTTCCTGAAAGCAGAATAGTAAAACAATTAATAACCACAATTCCAGACCTTCTCAATGAGCAAAATCACTTAACAACAGTGTGGCAACAGGAACAGCGAAAAATGAACACTTAGAGGTCCGCAAATATGGGAAGTCGAAACTACATTTTACATAAGTTAAGCTGGCCGAAGGTGGTTCATCAATTACGGGTGATGCACGCAATTGGGAGCTCCGCTTGCAATAGTCAGGCCAGTTCCAAAATCCTAAGTGAGCTATAACATCTCCTGACAACTAAACATTTCCTCCTCTGAAGTAGAAGGAAGCATCAAAGTGCCATATGGACACTATTATTAACATTACTGGGTGAGAATCATGGTGGGATTGAGAGTTTATGCAATTTAATCAAAAAGTTCATTCTCAGGGACCTATCTGCCCATCTATTGTAACCCAAATACATACAGAAGGGTTATTTAGCATGTAAACGCTTCAATTTAGAGTGCTGTCTAAGCAGATGTCCGGTCGACACCTTCAGAAGTTTCATTTACAAAAATGAATGCGTGTATCTGGAGATTTACTTACATCCCACTTATGATTATATGATTTCCTGAAGAAGCTTTTTAGCGAAACGCGTTGAAGTCTGGACCCACGGTGCATCGATGCAAGACTTTTTGACATGTGTTTGACAAATATATAATGAACTCAACAATTATTTAGCAATATTTATAAATGGTTACTACAATGCTGATGCCTAGAATGTGGCCGTGTGGTCCAGGGAGGCTACATGCCCATGGTGATTTTAGACTGTATTATGTTTAGGAAATTGATGTGGATGTGAAACCAATGGGCTTATACATTAGCCCCTCCCACTTTAAAAAAAAAAAATCGGTATTTATTAAGTAAAATAAAAATGAATTTCTAAAAGTTATATGCGTAAGAATTATATGTTCTCCATGCCTAGAGTGACACCTTAAAAGCCCCACTTTCTCTCTTTTTTTGCTTCAATACATGAACATTTCCCCATGCTTTAGCTCTTGAAAAATTCTGCAAATGCAAAAAAAACACCTTTATGAGAAATCCAGTGTACTCCTAACTAGGTATGCACCCATACCAAGTACCGTACTCGGTACAAGTACAGATACTTTTCCATCTCCAGGACTAGAGAAACATTTAGAAGTTAGGAGGCAGCTGTCATTTGTAAGGAGCACATGGAGCTCCTGGGATTTGTACATCTCTTTTAACGTACAATTTTGTTTTTATAAACATATATAAAAGGGATCCACAGATACCAGTTTTGCAAGTACAAGTACTGATACTTGCTCGAGTACTCACAGATACAAGTACTGATACATTTTTGTTTATTGTCATGTGATAGTTTTTCTAAAACAATACTGACTAATGATTTCAGGACAGTGGTGGAGTGCCAGAGCCAGGTCTCAGCTGCAAACGCTGCATCCCTGGTAGTTCTCATGAAAATGCCAAGTATCGGCACTGGTATCTGAACTTCCCTACTCCTAACATTTGGTTTGGGTTGTCAACACAGTATCTGTGCTGTAAAACCCCCTGAGACTACAGAAGTGTCACAGCCAGTGCAAAAAAAAATAACTTGGTTGTCTTGCAATTCCATGCATCCCTTTGTACCAGTTGCTAAAAAAAGTATGCCAACCATCAAATAATGTCTATGGCAAATTTTAGATGTTTGCACACATTAAGTAATAAAATCCCATTACCCCTCCATTTGGCATTTTTTTTAAATCAATGTCCTTGAGGGCAATATAGACTTCAGACAGAGAATAAAGAAACTTGCCACAACCAAGCCTTCCCAGGAGAGGGCAAAGTTCAAACCTCCTGGTGCTCTGGAATTGAAGCACATGCATCAGCCCACGTCATAGAGAACAATGACCGCCTTAAGCTGGCCATACATTAAGCAAATTTCAGCCGGCTCTTCAGGATCTGGACGAAATTCGCACAGTGGATGCCACCGTCAGCCCCTTTCGGCTGGCATTCCTCAGTCCTCTGATCGAAGGAGCTGGCCAAAAAAATCTATAACTGAACAGAGCGGGGAGCCAATGAGCTGCCAGCTCTATTCAGGTATTCGGACAGTGACTAACGGCTGCTGTCAGAATACAAACAGCATGGATTCCTCGATCAACGCACTCGTAGCATGGATGGAGAAATCGGTTCTATTTTTTTTCGTTCAGCCACGACTTGAGTAAAAAAAAATAGCATAGTGTTTGGCCAGCTTTAGGCTCTAGGTCAGTGCATGCACCACTATTCTCCATGGCCCAGAGGATGTGAACAAAGCTTAAGTATTCCTGGGAAGTTTCTTTACTCTGAATCTGAGGTCGGTTGAAGAAACCTTAGGACAACTTTAAATGCAGATCTCAAACTACAAAGACCAGTCCCTTCCCCAAGCCAGAGATAAAATAGCATTAGAATTTCCTCTTCAGTGAAAAAAGTCATCTTACCATTCAAGTTTTTCAATGCTCTCTCTGCATCACGCCTATTCATAAATGCAACAAAGCCACAGTTCCTCTCCCGTGCTCGCTCCTCATCTGTCCGTGGCCACATGATTTTAACGCTAGCCAATGGCCCAAACTTTCCAAATTCATGACACAACATCTCCTCGTTCATCTATAAATTTAAGAAACATTTTAAGAATTAAACATTCGGTTCCTTTATTAATCCTCATTGAAACAAAGCAGAAAAATATTTGCATATGGTGAAATTAAGCAAACACGAAGTCCCTGTTTGTTGTATATTGGACTTTAATATCTAATGAGGCTTTGCCTAACAGTATCTGTTATACTCCTGAATAATATACCAATAAATAATTTAAATGTTTACCCATGTGTGACATTCAAACTCATGTGTACTAGATGTGCCTGTATGGGGCTGTGTTACTTTGAATCATTTTCTAGCTTATCCCCAACCTAAAAGTTATGTTACTGAACATGAAGCGCTTGAATAAACATTCAGCAGCCTTTAGCATTAAAAAATAACTGTACACAGGAGATGATCTCTTTTCAAGAAATGCATGGAGCTTCTGCACATGCATGCAAACTAGATAAACTTTGGGTGGAATAGGCCCACCCGAGCCGTCTCTACATATATTTGTGTTGAGCTCCCATGTAAGTATAAAGACACTAAAGCTGCCCATACACTGTTCGAATTTAGGCCGTTTGAGGAATTGGCCGAAATTCGCACAGTGTTGGCAGCCGTCGGCACCCTTTCGATCAGCATCCCTCGATCAGCTGATTGAAGGAGCCGTTCGGAAAATCTTTGATCGATCAGAGTTAGCAGCCAATGAGCTGCCACGCTGGTTGGGTATTCTAAAAGGGGCCGGCGGCACCTGTCAGAATACAATGTAAAAAGCGGAATCCCCTGATTGACATGCTGTTAGTGATGAAGAAATTGGGTCAATTTTTTCCGTTCAGCCCATGGGGTTGAAAGGAAAAAAAAATTGATCAGTGGATGGCCAGCCTAAAGGTGGCCATACACCTTACAACCATCACAAGACTTTTGTCTTGCAATGGTTGTAAGGTAATTAAAAAAAATTACGATCTGCCCATCTTGGACAGGCAGATCGTACTTGCGATCATCGCAAGCCCGCCCCCCCTGCAATGCTGAACGGGCAGTGTGCGCTTGCGCACACCTGCCCGTGCGGCATTTGTCTTACCTGCAGGCCACAAACCCGCCGACAACCGTACAATTCTCAACGGGTTTTCGAGCCTGCTCAGAAGACAAAAGACATGCGATCGTACAGTAGAAACGGTCGCACACCTTCCATACACCTTGCGATTATCGTACGATCGCGGGACTTCCCGCGATTATCGTATGATAATCGCAAGGTGCATGGGCACCTTTACCTTTCAAATTCATTAATTGCATACAGGTGTCAGAGGCCATTACTTTTGTATGCACATGCTACCCCTTTTTCTGTGATAGAATAGAATCACAGATCACATTCCTTAGTCAAACACTTAACCGATGAATGCTAATCCGTCTGCGTACTTTGCCCTTTGGTTTCAGGATTTCCTTACATCCGTTTCTCTTAATTTTTTGTACAACAGTTTCAGTGTCTCAGTGTTTTCCTTGGACAGAAGTCAAGCCCCTAGATACTGACTCAGGGGTTCCACAGTGACACAGGATTTGATCTACATAGTTAGACAAACCGGTATTTGCAGGCACCATAAATAAGCTGCCTGTAACCCGACAGAATCAGTTAAGTACCTGAGGATTGATGTTGCCAAGATAAAGATTAGTTGTACTTGGATCACCCACATCATGTGAGCCAGGAGCATAGTCATCAAGAGCTTCATGCAAAGAAAAAAAAAAAGAAAAAAAGTTACTATGCAGGTAATGAAAAGTGTCAAACAAATGCTAAATATTTGAAATACTAAATAGGATACCACCAGAGGCTCTGTTTCTTCTTGATTGTTGATCCACTTAAAAAGAAATAACGGAAAACAAAATGACCCCCTTTATACTAATATACGTATTAAACACCAAAATCATATCAAAGAAAATAGCAGAAAAAATGTACTTTTCTTACTTGGACGCCGCTGTCCATCAGCGTCTGCTTGTGGGGGTTCAAATCTGCTCAGTCTGCCTTTTGTTTTGTGGCGCTCATCTCTCTCTTCTTGAATCCTGCAAGACGTTTACATTATAAGAAGACAGCAAAAATAAACTATTTGTCTGACCAAATATCAGACCTTATACAATTAGCTCTGGAATGTTCCGAATTTCTGCTGCACAGCACAAGATCTTTTTCTTTGAATTACATTTCTTACAGTGCAAATTGATTTTAAGAGAAAAGAATCAACCCACAAATATGACATAACAATATTAGTGCTCTGTATAATTGGTGGTGTGCTTTGCTATGCTTCAGACTGAAAGCTTAGAGCTGATCCCCCAACACTTCAGCTAAGAGCAAACACTCACACTCTCTGTGCTGCATCTCAATCCGGCCTTAACTGTCAATCAGGCCATGTTACTCTGCCAGCCTGGGAACAATTCAGAGAATCAAGCCAAAAATAGTGCACGCCTGTGTCACTCATTAACGCCTCATCAGCTCTTAAAGTGACACTAAACTCAGGAGTTAAACCTTAAAAATGCATTCAAATACCTTAACTATTAACAAAAATGTATCTCATTTGTGCATCACTCGGCTGTAGATCCTCAAATCATCTCTGAATTGGTGCTGACACTGTCCTTCCTTCTGGAGGGTGGCTACTTTTGTTCCCTATGGTCCCTGTGTGTTGTAAAGTAACCAATGCTCCACGCTCACTCCCGTGATGGACTACAATCTCACATTTAGTTTACCAATTTGTATTGAGATTGTAGTCCATCACGGGAGCCAACTTGGAGCGGTGGCTACTTTACAACACACACACAGGAACCATTGGGAACAAAAGTAGTCACCCTCCAGAAGGAAGGACAGTGTCAGCACCAATTCAGAGATGATTTGAGGATCTACAGCTGAGTGATACATAATACTGAACATTATTTAATAGTTAAGATACTTGAATGTATTTTTAAGATTTAACTCCCTGAGTTTAGTGAGAGATATACACACACACTATATTGCGAAAAGTATTGGGACGCCTGCCTTCACACGCACATGAACTTTAATGGCATCCCAGTCTTAGTCCGTAGGGTTCAATATTGAGTTGGCCCACCCTTTGCAGCCATAATTGAGGACATGGTATGTTAACTATAGCCTCAATTATGAATGAATGGGAAGTAATCTACATCACCTCCTGTTCATTTATAGTTGTAGTTATAGTAAACATACAATGTTCTCATGTTATCAATGAACTGGAACACTCCGAGGATTCCTCAAATTACTTTTCTTCTTTTCTTTTTCCCCTTTCTTTAAAGGCTACAAAAAAAAACAATAACTAAATACACATATTTTATTATAAAACTAAATGTATATATTTATAAAACTAAATATTTTTTGGCCACCCTGCCTTGCAGGCCAATATACCCCCGGTAATTTAAAGGGCACCTGTAATTTTATTGCAGACAATATCTTGCAAAGGAGGATAGGCATTGCCCCTTTTTCCTTTCCCCAGTGATATTTAAGCTCATTTTGGAGGCAAAGTCCTTTTTGTATAAGACAGCAGGAAGATTGGTCTGCCTTATTGGCCACCAAAATGAGCACATATTCTAGTCATTACTGTGATGATAGAATATGATATGCATAGCCTCAGTTGGTATTAATGTGATATTAGAATTTACATAGTTTATTTCCTTAGACCATTTTCCTATAGCTATTCGTGATTAGTTCATATGCTGCCATCTAGTGGCCTTTTTTTTTGGTATCAAACATGTTTTCATGTGTACCCTTCCGCACATTATGACACATTTCCTCTTGTGTGTATGCTCAGCCCTTCTTCTTGAGTATAGCACTTCCTGTGTCATGGATGCATCTAACAGGCCACATGTAACGGGACACGTTATCTGCATTGCACGCTAAAGAAAGTATCATCTTTTGACCGCATATACTGCAATCATTCATCTGCTGTGTCCTGTTGTCTGATGTACAAAATAAAGCAACCCTTGTGGGTGAAAAAGGTATTGGTGAGTTCAGCTATCTGATAAGGATTGTCCGCAGTGATTGTATCTGCTTATACAGGCCAGGCATAGAGGTCTCAGCAAGGGATAAGTCTCTATCACAACAATCGGAGTCAGAATAATTACAGATACAGACAACTTTTCCTGCAGTTCCAAGAACATTTTACCATTTAAAAACACAGCTCACCTGAAAATGTAGGCATAGCTTAAGGGGGTTTAACACCGCGGATGTCAACTGGTTAAGTGAGGAATTAAAGAATACAATGCATGAAACAATAGGTTTGGGTTTGTCACACTGGTAGTAATTCATAACAGTCAAAAAGCAGTGGACAGAAAACAAAGCCTGTTATTCAGGAGAGCAGCTTTGTGCTTTCTCTGCGAGTTGCCAAGTACCAAGATTAAAAGCCTAAATTGTACATTTTCATCATTTTCTAGAATTGCACTAGGAGATGCAAATGAAAAGCCAATTTTGAGTTATTTATAGAATGTCCCTGTGGAGTCTCAAAATCAAATAGTTTGTGTCAAAACGTAGACATACTGCCTAAAAAACGCATGCATTCTGACTCATCCCACACAAAAGAGGAAAAAATAAAATTTATTATTTAATATTTAATATTTAAAGTGGAAGTCCTGCGATAATATTTGCCATAACTTGCTAGTATGCACAGCACATTGGGCACACTATGGCCAACTTTCCTTGTAAAATGATCCCCTCCAGTGCGGCACTCTCCCCTCCCTCACTGCCATCTTTTCCCAGTCCTGTTCCGGATTCGGCATCTTCAGCCTCTTGAATAACCAGCATGAAGCAACTCCCGCGCATGGGCACAAGAGTTACTTCATCTCAGCATGTCAGGTGAAAAAAAAAAAAACAGGCAGGTAGATTTAAGATCTTCTGCTTAAAAAAAAAACCTGCATGTCAGCAGCAATTTTTTAAAATTACACTTCCAGACCAGATCTGGAACAAAGTGCATTGCGTTTTGCCACGTTCTGGAGCTGGTTTTTTAGTTAGCATAAAATGGGCTTTCAGATGCATTCCAGTGAATTTGCATGCATTACCATGTGTACCAGTGCATTCCAGACCAGACAAAATGAGACATGCAGTATTTTACCGTTCTGGAACGGACTGCACTGGTGTGAACAGAGGCCAGAAATAGCATTGGGATACATTAAAATGCATTTTGGGTCTGGAAGCAATCTGGTCTGGAGATGGTGTGAAGAGGCCCTAAGGTTAAGCCAAAGTATAAAGTAGTAGTAGTAGTAGTTGAATATAACCAATTTCACCCATTTGTAACCCCATAAACGAGTGAGAAGCTGGTTGCTTTGCACAAACTGTTTTACTGCCCCTTTGTACATCAGCCCCTATGTAAATCAAGCACAGTATTATCCTCCACCAGCTTAGGGAAAGCCAATGTAAACAAAGCCTCTGGCTGCTAGAAGCTGTCAGCACCCTTCTGGTCTGAGCTCTGTTCTCATTTTATGGAAGTACTGGAGACGGGTACAAAATCTCTCATAGTTTCAGTTACACTCTAAATGATTCATTAAGGCATTAAAAACAGGAGTTACGCGTTTGAGATCCAGAAAACCCTTAAGCATATATTAAATAGGCAAATGCAAACAAAGTGAGATATGGACAAATTTGGTGGAATGCAGAGGAAGAAGGGACGAAGGTAACAACATTATCATTTGCTCTTACTGGTTTCTTCGGCTCCATTAGTAGTACTGGAGCAGGTGGTCGCTCAACAGGGGGTGGCAGTGGTTTTGGCTCTGAAAATCGTGAAGCTGGCTTATACAGCTTGCCTTTCTTTTCATCAGTCTCATGCTCCTCTGCAACAAGACAACAACCAAAATACTCTATGAAACATTACATATTCAGATGGTAGTCATATTATATACAAATACACTGTAGAGGGGGGAAAAAAAAAACCCAGCAGAACTGCACTAAAAATAGAGGAGCTGCTGACATAACTAAATGAAACCAACAATTTTACCATCTTCCCTCACACTGGAGAACCGCTAACATTGTGGCTAAAAAACTGCTTAAAACATCTAAATCACATTCGCCATTACAATGCGACAGCTCCCCAACTCTGGTGATGCAACTGTGGAGGTCCAAATAGTACAAGGAGGTCCGGATGCCTAGTCCTTGGCTCTTGATAAGTACTGTTGATGCACATGATTGATGGCACCTCATGAATTATTCAGCCACAGATTGAGATATAACTAATGGCACTTTATGAACGGTTTGTTACCAAGTTGCCATGTTTTTAGCTGTCCGATATGGCACTTGTTGCTGGATATTACAAACGGATTACAATCTGCGCACTGATTGAACTAAAGCCAATGTACTTTATGAACTGACTGTGCAGTGTTGAGCTTGATATGGCATGGGTTGCTCCGCCCCCACACCGCTCTGGCAGAGCGGTTTGGGGGCGGAGACAGCACGTGCTGTCACGGGAGGCTGAGCTCTCCTCCCACACCGATCGATCAGCCTCCTGTGACAGCGTGTCAGAGAGGAGAGCAAACACTCAGCGATCAGTGATCGCTGAGTGTTTGTAGATAATTGAGGATATGGTATGTGTACTATATCCTCAATTATGAATGAATGGGAGTGATCTATATCCCCTCCTGTTCATTCATAATTGTGGTTACAGTAAACAAACCATGTCATGGTATGAATGAACAGGAACACTCAGTATAGGGGATTCCTGTTCATTGATAACAGGGGACACTGAAAAAGAGATTGAAGACTTTGTCCTCAATCTCTTTTTCTATTTTAAAAGGGAAATATCAGGGGTCTGTTTAGACCCCTAATATTTCCCCGAAGCTCCCAAAAGTAAAAAATACAAATATTTAATAAAAATAAATATTAAAATTAAAATATGCTGGCGACGTACACTGTACGTCGTCAGTCACGAAGGGGTTAAAAAAAAATTTAAAACATTTTCAATCTGACAATTTTTTTAATTTCAGTTTCGTTTTTCAAATTTCTATTTTGGTGTACCTCTACTAAAACCTACATTTGACATATTTATTAAAAAAAATTCTAAAAATAGTCAAGTATT